CCTCCCCCCGCCCAGTTGCCCCCTCGGAACCAGTACTAGGCCAAACCTGTCCATGGCCTCCTTGTGTACAGCCACAAGTTAAGTTCCAGCAGTAATAGGGTGCCATCAGTGGTGGTTGAACTCGAAGATCTTGTCCATTGGATATCGAGGAGAGATTTTGTAGATCCACTGCTATTTGCTTGCTGGTATTTTTCTGTCCATTCATGATGCCAGAACATCGTGCTGCTGAAAACAGAAATACCAGCGGCACCACAGCGAGAGGACAGATACCAGCGGGACAATAAGGTGCGGCACTCAACCGGTGACAAGTCACCGTGTCGCTCTGTTAGGGCAATGCGATCTATATCCGTATATCTTTGCACACAGGCTTCCGTGTCAGACTGTCAGTCTTCGACGAATGTGGAATGATGGAGGTAGAGGAAGAAAAAAACAGAATAGGAGGAGTGGAAGGAGGAGATGATGGTTGTGAAGGAAAGAAAGAGAAACCAACAAGGACGAACAAGAGGAAGAAGAAAGCTGCCAAGCACAGAAGACAGACAAAGATTAAAAAAGAATGCTGTGAACAGCTTACTTTGTCGAGGGCGGCATTGCTTACTCATGCACTCGAGTTTCGCTTTTTGCGAGGAGGCATTTTCAGAAGTGGAAATTGCATCTGTACCCCACTTAAAGGTGGGAATACCGGCTATATACCCAGTCCCAGGTCCAACTTGCGTCTATACCCACAAAACGGCTGGTGGAAATTGTTTGCATGCCCAGGACCGAGGTGGATCCAGGTTGGCCCGCAAAATATCGGTTATAACCAACTACAGGAATGCACAAATATTATGGAAATACCCAGGCAAAATTATGGGCATACCCGGACCTGAGGAGGAGCGGCCAAATTGCTCATATACCCTGCTACCGGATGGCTGGAATTATGCTCATACCCAGCAGCCGTTGGGCACAATGGTCTACTTGGTGGACATGAGCATAATTTGGTGCTCCGAATCCAGGGCCTGCGGGACTGGGTACACCTACAATTTCGCACAAGGGAAAAGTTGGGTACTATGCAAAGTTGAACGGCCTCTGGGTATTGAAGCAAGTTTGCGCTGGGACTGGGTATAGTGGGTATTCCCATCTTTAAGTGGGGTACAGATGCAATTTTCCCTATTCAGAATTGGATATCAATTCTTTCTATTTTGTGCACAATGTTGACATCCGTATTGATCAGGATCGGTCCGAATAACTTCTGAAAATCGGAAAAGGAGACAAACACACACACACACACACACACACACACACACACACACACACACACACACAGAGGAAGAGGGAGAGGAAGGGGGAGG